ATATGAAACAATTTTATTAAAATTTCATTAAGTAGTATATGAAACAATTTCATAACCACATATGAAACAATTTCATCAAAAAAAAGTATTATATGAAACAATTTCACAATATTAACAATTTCATGAAAAAATTTCATAAGATTAACGATGGATGAGAGTAGTTTTTACGGTTTTTACAAATTGGAGTGATTTTCATTTGATCGGTCATCTTTCTCATCAAATGCAACTCTCTCTCATCATAAGAGATAGAGAGAGAGAAAGAGATAAGCGATCAGATCAAATGCAAACCGTCCATATTTGTACAAACCGTGCAAACCACATTTATCCGTCGATTTCATTGTTTAATCTTATGAAAAAAATTCATGAAATTGTTTTAATCTTACGAAATTGTTTCATATAATATTTTTTCTTGATGAAGTTGTTCCATCTATAGTTATGAAATTTTAATGAAACTGTTTCATGTATTTCTCTAAAATTAATATAATGAAGAWGATAATATCCATGATTAACACTCTCCACAATAAAAATGATTAATCAACCTTTCACAAGTACAAAAAAATGAAAAAATAAAAAATTATGATTGGTTGAATGAAGTTTATACAGTTTTCCACAAATAATATGGTTTGCAAAATAAACTCTCTCTATATATATATATGGATGTTATTAAACTGTTACAAAATTTTATGTGTATATTGTTATAAATTACGAGGAAATAGATATATGAATATATCATATATCTACTCATTGATTCTCATCAGGTTTTTTTTTTTTTAAATGGAAAAAATAGAAGAGAAAAAAATATATTTTTGTTGCATTTTTACCAATAAAAAACTTTGAAATGAAATGTTTATGATAAATAAATAATATATTATTAAATGTATAAAATATTTTAATAATATAATAAATGTTGTAATCTCTGAGATGAATAACCTGTTGGAATTGAAGAAATAGTATTTTTAAAAATTTAGATTTTTAATTCTCCATTTTAAAGAAATTTTAAAAAATCTATTAGAGATTTTATTTGTATGCAGTTTCCATTATAATATCTGCTTGGTTAATGTAACAATATTGTGTGGATTTCATCAAAGATTTGACTAACTGTTTCAGTCTTTGATTATTAATTAGTTGACCTACGTTGTGGTCTTGTCATTAATGAAACTGGGGCCATGACGAGCAAATATCAATTATTTGATCGTTATTTATCTAATTAATTGATTTTTAAAAGAAATTTTGACACTGATTTTCAAATGTTAGTCAACAGTTCTTGTTTTTTCATGAAAATAAATAAAACTGAGGATCGAAGAAAAGTGTTTATCACGTTTAGAAGTTTGAATCATGCGAGAGGTGTGTTTGAAACTATTATGCTAGCCTCAATTGCTATATCAGCTTTGAAATGCCTCATCACATGTGGTTCCGTACTGTCGAGGTTGTCGGTATAGTAATTGACCTTTTGCTCAAATAAAATATAATGATTTATATTTATCAAATGAGAAGAGTGACCAAATAAGAGAATGTGAAAACAGTCAAATCACATGTGATTTTACACTAACTCACGTGTAAAATCACATGTGGTTACACATGACATAGGTCATGGGCCAAGTCGTCCGTGCATGTGTTGACCGTTTTCCCTAATCACATGTGATTTAACCGTTTTCGTATTCTTTTATTTTGACCATGTTCTCGTTTGATCCTCTATGTTGTCAGGGCTGTCCCTAGGGGAGGGCGGGTCGGGCACACACCCAAGGTCCACAAAAAACATGGGCCTAAATTTTTATTGTATATAGTAGTTGTTCAGAAAAAGACAGTAAACAAAAAAATATATATATAAATTTTAATTTGTCGTTCATTTTATAGTATTTTTGATTGATTTTACGTCTAGAAATACTCGAAAACATGGTTTTATATTAATTATTAGTATTTTAGAATTCAAGCAATATATTTAAGATTTCCATATATATATCGAACTCATTTTATACATCTCGTCCGGTACCTATAAAATATCATAAACGAATAAATAAATATTTATTTTTTAAACAAACACACACCTACAAAAAGCCATACGTATTTTTTTTTGAAGTATATAATATTTATATATGACAAATGCAACAAATAAACTTACACACCCTCCTTATTTTTAATGAGGTTTAAATCTCTTATCTCTTAAGAGGTCAAAGACTACGATACTGTTAATAAAAAATATTTGTATTTGTGGAAAGATGGGGACTACTTTTGGAAAAAGGGGGATTACAGGATAAGATGGATTTTTGTCGATTTAGAGGAAATTCCATTCCCATTTCCCACTATTTTTCTTGTTCCTTACGCATATTTGACGTTTTCTCTTTTTTTTTTTTTTCCATTTTTATATTTAAAGACTATAAATTAAAAAGACCATTGACCACCAAAATCACCTCATAAATAATTATAGTAAATCATTGGTCTGATAATCGGTTGATATTTATTGGATGTGAAGGGAATTGAACCGATCCAATCATTTATTAATGTTGGATTTTGTCAGTCGATTTGATCTGATTAACATTGGATAACTGATCTGATCCGATCCAATGGATGATTGGATCAGTTTGGTTCCATATCATCCATTGGATATTCTTATTAGATATCCGATGGGATTAGATTTATCTGGTATGTTAATTCAATCCAGTTCTCTAACTACGATCCTAATTAATCACTTTTAATATGTGTTAAAATTAATACAAGGGAAGTTAAAAATTCAAAGCCTCACATAAAACAAATTCTGATTTAAGCAATTTGAAAATAAATTAATTGGATAATGGTGGGATAGAGAACTGGATGATTAATTGGATAATGATCGGTTCGGTTTTGGTCGGTTCTAGACTGCCATCCGAGAACCGACCGATCCAAATTGGATTTTGAAATTTTTAATCCTATCCGATGTAATCATGGTCGGTCGGTTCTAATTGAATCAGTCGATTTCAATTAGATCTGTTGAAATCAGATTTATTATGTTTTAATTTGAATTTATTTTTTATTTTTATATTTTTTTATGATTAAAATAATTATTTCATCAAAAACAAAATTAGAATCGAGAAGTTCATGAGTCCGATTTTGGGTTTTCCGTTTCGTTTTTATGTTTGTATTCTTTTTAACTCAAAACAAACTAAACGGAGTTGAAATTAAAACTCGGATAATATTATTAAAATGAAATTTATTTTGTTTTAATTTCTATTTTTTATAATGTAATTTCAAAACATTCATTTTGGTATCTAAGATGTGATATCTTTTAAAAGGTTTAAGTATATGAGTATTCATAACAAGTTTAAATAACACTTCTCAAACTCTACTGTTGTAACAATACTGAATTGGAATCGAAACTCGAAAATATGTTAGCCATTTTGGACCCTACCAAGGGTGTGCTCCTCGTTTCAAGCTTCAAATCGGCTAATCATGGGCCTAAAACAGACTCCCAAGGCCTGGTCCTCCACACCAAGGCCCTCGTCAATCAACAACCACTACAACAAACTCGGGTTTATAGGACGCTCATAATTTCTAAGCGTCTTAATAGACCTCTTTATAAGACCTAGTTTATAGGACCAAAACATAAAATGTCATATCTAAAAGCTTTGTAATAAGTTTAATGACGCTTTTTGACGTCGTAATAAGTTTTTTAGGACACTTTTAGTATAAAACGTCTCATTGCAACTTTATACGATGCCATCTGAAAAACTGTCCTATAAAAACAAGTGTCCTATTAAAAATTTAGTTTATAGAACACTTTCTCAAAAGTAACTTATAAAGTTGTTAATGCGACGTTTTGTATTAAAAATGTCCTAAGAACCTGTTAAGACGCCCCAAAGCGTCATATAAATTTATTACAACACATTTAGATAAGACACTTTATATTTTGATCCTATAAATTAAGTCCTATAAAATGGTCTATTGGGACACTTAGAGACTAATGACGTCCTATAAACCCAATTTTGTTGTAGTGCATAGAATTTGTGAGATAATTTTAATGATGGTTTTCTTTTTGTTACAAAAATATGTTAGTGATATGAAACAAATTGAACCACCAGCCAAACACATTTATACAACAGTAGTAGTCGTCTAAAAGAATTTAATAAATTAAAGAAACCAAAAAAATTGTAGCATATAATAAGAGGCAAAAAGAATTTAATAAATAATAAGAACCCAAAAATATATCAACTAATTACATTGGAGAAAAAAATATATTAATTGGTCATTTATTATATGCAACTAGTAGTTCACCTCCCGTAAACGTCTTTCAGAAAGAAGCATCAAGCTGCTATGCATGAGCCTAATCACACCAAAAAGAAATAGACCCTAATAATTAACCATTCGTTCATATGCAAATGTGCATGCAAGTAATTGAAGATGTTTCTTGGTTTCTATGCATGTGTGTATGTTATGCAGATGTGGTGACTCTTACACAGTATATATGCAACAATTTACCCGGTAAGCGCTCACCGTGGTAAGAGTCGTCGTCCTCACTTACCGGGTAAGACTCTTGGTTCTTGTCTCGCTCTTACCGGGTAAGATTCTTGGTCCTTACCATATTGATCCGGTGAGGTAATGTGACTTGTTAAGCAGCGCTTACTCGGGTAAGCGTTTGATAAATGGCAATTTAGTCTACAAATCTATCATATAGAACCCATTTGTCCCAAAACTTGGGAGGCGTTTGGTTGATTTTRAGGAATGAGAATGAAAATGTGAATGTTGATTTTAACATTTCTTCTAACAAACCAAATGGAAAACAACATCTGATCACATCCCAAAAGATTGTACAAAACAAACAGCAACATACACAGAAGCTGAAACCATTTTAAAGCCAACACCTAATGCATACTAAACAGTGAAATGACAAAACTAACCCCTACACAATACATACAGAATAGTCGTATAACATAACATAGTCCAACAGCCTCAGTAATTTTTATTTTGTTACATAATGTTTAAAACCCATATATCAAATTTGTTTGATCCATCAAGGGTGACCATGGTGCACCAAGCTCCTCAAGCCGAAGAAAATCAGACCCACCCACAGTTTAAGTCGGGTTAGGGGCTTTTATTTGCGTCTTATCGAGCTTAATGGTAGAAAGGGCTTATTCACTCACCATTACCACCAAAATATTATGTTGCTGCTAAGTTTTCAAAACTGGAATTCGATCTGATACTATACTCAGCAACGAGCTTTGCGAATGAAGATGATTGATCTTCCAGCAACTTTGTTGGAGAATCATATTCATCGATCAGACCTGCATATGGAACAAAAAAAGTACGCAGATTAAGACTTAAAACTGCGGAATGTCAGGGCCAACGAAGTTGCTTAACGAACCTTGTTCTAAAACCAAAACCATGTCGCTATCAAGCACAGAGGTGATACGATGGGCGATCATTATCACAGTAGAGTCGCTAAAGTGTTGCCCGAGCGTTTGCTGAATCATACAATCAGTCGCTGTGTCGACTGATGCAGT